TCTTATGTAGACCTCTGATTTTCTTGTTGTTATCCGTTGAGACCTGAAGAGTTTAAGTAATTGATTTGAGGTCGCACAACTAGTAATATTGTGTCAGAATTTGAATTTGGGTTCCCTGTTTTAAGATCCTGACATCATCCTACATTTTGACTATAGGCAGAGAGATTTAATTTAATTTGATTGATCTAGGGTGAGACCTAGATGCTGATAATTCTCAAAAGACCTCTGGATGATTTTATTGTGTGACTAGGGTTGAGAAGCAACTAACAACTTGAAGTATTATTTCTGTTGGGGAAATCTGAACACTGAGAGATCTGTAATTTTTAGGAAGGTGTTCTGACCAGTGCAGTTTCGGACATGCTTGGGTGGGGGACCAGAAGGGAGCCCCAGCCAGACCTAGCATGCACTGCAGAGGAGGTGCCTGAGAAATGCTGGCTGGAGAGAGGAGGGAGCCCTCATTGGGCAAATTCCTCTAGCTCTGTGTGTCCTAAATATTGGCCTCTGAGCCTGGGGAAGCAGGGCTGCGACTACTGCTCAAATAATGCAATAATCTGAGAAGCCAAAATTTGAGATCAGCTGTTTCTAACTTGTGAGTCAAGGAAGGGAGGAGGGATGGGTGGGAGGATGGTTGTGAATCCATATGTAGACGAAACATAAATATGTCTTGCATATATATTATATTTTTCAAAAGTGTACTGATAACATTATGTTGAATAAAACACAAAGTTTCCTTTTTAAATACAGTATTCATCTCACAGAAGCCTTTCGTTATTCTGTATTTTCTTGGCACTGATGACATTATAGTGATTGCCACAAGGGAACTTGGGCTCTCTCTCTCTTTTTTTAAAGATATTGAAAATAGAGCTTTATGTTTTACAAAAATGATACCCCCTCAACTAGTCTGGAACAAAGAGGTTTTGGAGAAGCGAGGGTGTGCAAGAGCGTGACAGGAGTTAGTAGAGAAGGTCAAATACAGGTGGCCAGTACACTCAACTTTAATCTGCGCTGGAAGAAGCTGGCATTCATGCGAGCACTCAGTGCCCAAGTCTGATGTAAACGAAAGAATCCTCATTCTGTCCTTCTCAAAATGTGAACCTTGAATCATTCTTAATTTAAATAAACTGGAAAGGAAATAGGCTGAGAGACATATTTGGGAATTCTAGAATAGATAATTTACCTATGGACCCACCAAGAACTGTCACTCTGGCCCCTGTAAAGAAGAACAATATCTCCTCTCTTGTGATAGCTAATAGTCAAGTGTCATCTATTTCTTTGTCATCCCCAAAGAAGAACTTGTAGGGCTGGGGATTTAGCTCAGTGGTTCCACTGCCTGCCTCGCAAGCACGAGGACCCGAGTTCGATCCCTGGTACCAAAATAAATAAATAAATAAAACAAAGAAGAAATTGTAAAAAGTAGCACCCTTGCCTAAAACGAATGACTATAATGACTAAAATGCTTATTTTTGTAGTGACTCAGCGCTTCAAGCTGACTTCTGAACCACGTGCTACACACAGGAGACTTGTACATTCTCCATCACATCTGTAAGCTGGGACGTGACGATGACCAGCCGCCACCTCCAATATTTCATATATATGAGAGGCATTTAGGAGATGTGAAGACTGGGCTGTTGTGAAACAGTTATAAAGACACAAGATGGAAAGTGTCAACAGTGACATTCAGCTGTGCGGTTATGCCAGCAAAATGGTGAGTGCCCTTTAGTCTGAGGCTTTAATTCTAATGTAGGCTCAAGACACGAAAAGGCCACCATGATATAGTGGTAGAATGAATATTTGGCTTGAAGTCATATGTTCTGGTTCTGAGTCTGTGCATGACATTTAAAACTTGTTGCTCCCGAGCAAGTCACCTAACCTCCAAGAGTATCCATTTCCCCACCTTAAATTGGAAGGCATAAGAATTTGTGCTCCACTACTCTAATAAATGGTGAGGGTCAAATGACATAGTCATTGTTAAAGGGATTTCATAAAAATCAAACGCCGACAGATATTTGTTATTATAATTGCATCAATCATCAGTGACCTTATTCAGATAAAAAAATCTGCCTAGAGCATAGCTTGACATAGCTTTACAAGCTCTGAGTTCTGACTTTAGAGTTCCAGGACCCTCATCGGCAAGAACTATTTCTTGCATGGATCAACAGTTAGTTATGTGACTTGGTTAATGGCCATTGCAAATAGAACTCTATAGAGGTTCAAAAACACAGACAGTTGGGAAAAATAGTCAAAAATTTGTCAGGAGTAAAGTCAATTCTAATGTTAAGGGGCAAGTATTGATGTTTGGTAAGGTCAGTGAAGAAGTGCTTGGAAAATTATGGGGGAAACGGAGATGCTGGGACCCCAGGATGTTGTCGCAGTGGGAGAACAGCTCAAGCTGTACATGAACCAGGACCCATAGGGACGCGGTGTGGGAGCAATGACCACCTGCCGGGAAAGTTGCCTGACTTCCTGGTAGGGCATGACAGACATGATTAAACATTCCACGAAAGGGACAAGAGAAGTCGTGTCTGGGAACTGAGGCTTGCCCACTCTAGCATCTTTGTTTTCAGAAAGCTCACAGGAGACACTGCGTCACCATAACTCACATCTGAGTCCTGGCCCCGCAGCAGCCCACCCACGTGACCTTTTGGTTCCATGTCTGTTAGAATTCACCCTTTGCTTTCTGGTATGCAGGTCACAGCCCCAAACGCTATGTTCTTTGCAGGCCCTGGGCTTTCAAGTTGGAACCAGGAGCATGGAGTTTCAGATCCTGGTGCTTCAAGGTCCCGGGGCGACAGCAGTTTCCTCCAACCACTACAGCCACACAAATCCTACACACCCGGGAAGAGCGGGGATGGGTCTCGCAGAGATTTTTAAGGTGAGCCAACAATCAGGGTCTAATTCACAGCTTCCTGACAACCAAACCAAGAGGAAAACGTATTAGGTTCCACATACTCATCTGGCTTTGGGCATTGTATGTCTCTGTGTGTCGAGACTTGTTTGGCTTTGAACTTCTTTTCATCTCTGAGTGCCTCCTCTCACCCTGTAATGAGGGAACCATTCACCTGGCTGGGACCCAGTTTTGCCTTGTTTCCTGCACTAGCTCCGCTCTCTTACCCAATCACATGGTTTTGTCGATGAAGGATCCTGGAAATAGGTGGTAAAGCTTGCAGGAAACTCAAGTTTTTCTTTGTTTCTGAAGGCTTAATGGGGCCCATGAGAGGGAAAGAAATAATGCAATCATGATTTTTTTCCACCGAGGCTAAGTAGAATGAAAAATAGAAGGCCTACTTCATGAAATATATATATATTTTTTACAGTAAAGAAACATATGGTCTGTGTGCATTTCTCTATATCCAAAGTTTAGCAGAGGATTCTAAATTATAGTGAAAGACTGAAGTAGACGATGGCTGGAGGGAAGGAATCAGAGAGGCGTGCTTTTGATTACCCTGCAGCTTCCGGGAACTCGGAGTGGCTGTGCACACTCCGGGCCCATCCGCTTAGAAATGGAGCATCACGAAGCTTTCTGGGAGGCTCGGAAGGGAGAGCTCCCTGAGCAGACGCCTCCTAGCGATTCAGGGGACCTTTAGCTTGCTGGAGAATGACGCTTTCCCTAACGGAGGGATCCGTCCCTAACAGGAACTGCCGGGCAACCCTTTGGCAAGGGCTGCTGAAAGTTCTGGATTGGCGAAGTTAAAATCTGGCAATAAATGCGCTTAACGAATCAGAGGAAGGAAAACTGCAGCTGCTTGTGTAGCACACACGTCGGGTTAAACCCGGGGTTACTGCCAACATAGGACAGCCGGATCAGAGGTCAGGTAAAAATGAAGCCGAAACAGGACAAACCTCCATGGCGAGGAGGAGGTGCCGAGTCCTGGTATCTGGTTTTGACGCAAACCGGAAGATTCATGACATGAATTTTAAAATTACGATTCTCTCAGGTTTACTTTGTATTTCTCTAAGTCCTTGATCCTGGAATGAGTTTATTTTAAAAAGATAAATCAGAGTTTTTGAATTTAGATTTATGGCCTATTAGCACATCTTTTCCCCCTAACAGATGCTCCGAGAGGCAAAATAATCTGATTATGGAGGCGTTTGCTTGGCACTGAAAGAGTTGTTCCAGTCTGTGAAGCAGAGATCCTGCTGCCTCTTTCGCTGTGAATTCTGCTGAAATAATAATAATAATAATAATAATAATAATAATAAGGCAAGAGCCCGTGCTGATCCTTGGTGATCTGGTCGTTTTTAATGAACACCGACAGCTTTTAAAGGAACTGGATGGAGTAGCACGCATATTTCCGTTGGTTGCGCCACGGGTCTGAGATTTTTGCGCAGCTTTTTCACGGCTCCTTGGTTCTCTGGTTTTAAATAGATTAGTGTGACACCACAATATTTCTTGTTAGTAGAGAAAAATTGGCAGCAATAAGCGTCTAGCAAAAATAAGGCTACAGCTCTCAAGTAGAGTTCTGTCTGACTGTCCTGAGCCATTGTTCGCCGTGTTTTTTCTGTTCTCACCGTCACAAACCTGTCTCCTCCTGACGTCTCACCTGTATTAGATGCAGGTCCGTTTTGTTTGTGTAAAATTTAAAAGAGAGCCAAATAAATTATAAAATGTCTTTAAATTTCCTGCAGGTTTTTTACTGTGGTCTTTTGTTTTATTTTTTGTTTTTATTAACGCATGTTTACAGTATGCAATGATTGCCTTCATCATGGGGAGTTGGTACAGGTACCATTATTAATTCTTTTTATTTTCTCTTTCTCCATCTTCCCTTCGTGGAAAACAGGAAAAAGGGAGAGAGATCTTTTGCAAAGGCAAAAGGGACCAAGAGATGCAATCTTCTGAAGAGAAAGCAAAGGGGAATTACACTGCAGCATGAATTTATGTGGCTAGAGCACTGCCTGCCCCACAGTTGGTACAGACCATTATTAATTCTTTTTATCTTCTCTTTCTCCATCTTCCCTTCGTGGAAAACAGGAAAAAGGGAGAGAGATCTTTTGCAAAGGCAAAAGGGACCAAGAGATGCAATCTTCTGAAGAGAAAGCAAAGGGGAATTACACTGCAGCATGAATTTATGTGGCTAGAGCACTGCCTGCCCCACCCAACCCTGCAACAATTTCCTTCACAGACGGTCGACACAGACCCCCACCTTCCCCCAGGCTCACAGCATCTCTGGTCCACAGCTCTCTGCCCTCTGGGCTCTTTCGCTGCACTGACTGTGCCACAACAGCGCAGGGAGGTCTCGGACGTCAGCAACAAGCAAGCTCATCCTACACTTGGCAGGGAAAGGTGATGAACGTGTGGGTGTTTTGTTTGTAGCTCAGGTTCAATCAAATACCGATTTAGAACTCAGACCCCGCCTAAGAATTGGTCTCTACCAAGCTTTCTTTCTGTCCCCTGGGCTTTGCTGGGTGCAGTTTCTTTTGTTATTTATGAACACAGTGTCTTTCTCTTCAGAGTTCCTTGAGGAGGAGGTCTGGGTGTGGCTTCCCCTTGTGGGAAATGTGTTAAGTCTGTGATGTCCTAGACATCTGCTTTGTTACACAGCACACACATAAGGGCATGGACACCCTTAGGCGTGTACCATGAGGTGTGCCTGTGTTGAGGACTGGGGTGGGGGAAGACGTAATTGGGTCTTGGAATTTTGCTGTTGTTTTTGAGGCAAGGTCTTATTGTTTAATTTAGGCTGGCTTTGAACTTGCGATCCTCTTGCCTCAGCCTCCTGAATACTGGGATAATAGATGTGTACAGCATCTGGTTGGGTTTTGGAAATTTTGATGGCAAGTCTAACTCTGCTGTTACCTTCTTTATCTCTCTTCGCCATGATTATAGCAGTGCCATATGGTATGAGCTGAATACTGTAGAACCGATCAATCGGTAAGCAAACAAATAGGAACATTAGAGGAAAAATTAGGAAATACAGATGAGCAGAAAGGTTGAATCTTTAGTAAATTGTTATTTTATTATTTAATGACATGAATAATTTTCTACATCATTAGATTTCAGTGAGGTATCCACAAATGTGATTTGAGAACAAATTATGTTGGAATAAATCCACACTCTGAATCGTTTATTCTGAAACTTGGAAATCAGATGTTTGGAACAAATGGTATTGTTAAATTGGAAAAGACCAAATTCGTCTTAGGAACTGAATCAAGAAATATCAGCTCTTTACCAGAGAAAGCAGGACAGGAAAAGCCATTTGGAAGGCAGGACAGTGGTATGGCTTCTGTTAATAGCATTTTTGTCTTTCCCACAAAAGAGTTTAATAATGATTCATGAAACAACATTTATAAAGCACCTCACAAACCATTCAAGTTTAAAACTATCTATGATATTATTCATAAATATCAGTTCAGGGCATTTTTTTGCATTTTATTTCTTCAACAAAGAAGGAAAAATATCCTTCAAGTTAGAAAAATGTCTAATTACTTTCTAGCTCTCTGCTTTCAACTAAAAAGTACGAAGTTCTTCTACTGAAAAACTAAGAAATTCTGGAAAACGATTTAATGTCAGCATTATAATACCCGACTTATTATTCACAGCATAATTTTTTATTAAAAACACTTTCAATCCCATTATCATTTTTAAACTACTTATCTCCAATCAAAATGAAAAATGCCGATTTCTTCATCTTTATTCATGCCTCTCTCACGTCAGTGCCCTCGGAAGATGTGCTCTTCATTTTCAGTGAGGAATTCTCGGTTGCTCATTAGTTCGGGAAACTAGAAGGATGGAATGGAAATGAAAGATGAAAAAGCCTCACAAGAACAAGGCCTCGTTTTCTAGAATAGGATCTTTTACTTTGGTTTGCACCAAAACTCTTCAGTTCTCGAGTCGCTGTTGTACATTCGCCAAAACTTCTCTGGTGGTCTAGGTGGGTTTGTTACCTGAGGCTTGAAAACACATCTTTTTCTATAACTGGGAAGTGTGTTTTTTTTTTTTTCTTTTCCAGAAGTAGCACTAAACAAATAAAAATGCTCTTCACAGGCCTATAGTAAGCTAATGCAAAGATGTTTTCCTTCTTAATGGATATAAAAGGAAATACAGTATTTCTAATCAGCTCTGAGAATTAGCAGATATATGATAGGAAAACATCAAACCATGCTTCCCAGAATGTAATTTTTTAAAAATAGTAGATGTCTTGCAGGAAACATGAAAGGCTAAGTACTATTTAAAAGTACTGGGTTAGGGGCCAGGGATTTACCTCAGTGGTGCCGTTGCCTGCTTCTCAAGCACAAGGTCCCTAGTTTGATCCCCGGTACCAAAAAAAAAAAAAAAAAAAAAGTGTTAAAAAGTACTGGGTTATTTAAAAAAATCAACATGAATTTCCAGGTGAGACCTTTATGCTTTCCTGCTTTGAATATAGTTTTTATTTTATCATATTTTATTTTTTACTTGACGTAACAGAGACCTTATTTCGTATATGCCATTTTTTTAAAGACCGGGTCTTGCTGTGTAGTCCAGGTTGGCCTTGAACTCTGTGATTCTCCTGCTTCAGCCTCCTGAAGGCTGTGATCACAGATGTCTGATGCAGTCTGTCTTTGGTTCACCCCAATGTTCCAGGTGGCAACACAGATATTTTAAGTCTTTTATTTATTTTGTTGAAAAGACTTATTTATTTATTTTATTTTATTTTTTTTTTTAAGCAAGAAATGTTTAGGTCTGATTGTGAATAAGAAATCAGATGTTCTGAATCCCGGCATGGAATTGCCTTTCAATAATATTTAACTTATTTCACATTTTAAAAAGCCAACTTGTAATTGTGGTAATGCTTCCAAGATAGGGTCCACTTTTAAGTACTCCAACCACATAGGGCTCTATTTATTTTAGTTTCCCTTCATCTTGACCTTTTGAAAAGCATGTGCTGCGTCATTTTTGACCAAAATCAGTATTTCACAAAATGGTCTGATTATAAATATTACTGGAATGCATGTTAGAACTTCAGGACCCTAATCTTTTGGGGCCGGGCGTAATAATACCAGCGCCTGGTGCTCCAGATGGGCAGGAGGAGGAAACAGCAGGAGGGCTGCTTCTCTGTCCCTGGAAAATAGTTGCCTGTGGGGGTTTTCTAATAATGTCCATACCTTGGCTTCCCCAAGATGTTTTAATACAGACTGCTTGGGACCTGGATGTTAAAATATTGAAGTAAACCCCAAGTTTCTAGACTACATTGTTTCATATTACACAGCAGATGAGAGGTAGATGAAATGATTGCAGGAAATTCCTCTGTAGAGGATAGTGGTCCGGAAGAGTAGCTCCTCAGGTCCCTGAGGCAGGAAACATTAGAGTCTCATCATCTCTGCTCCTTTATCCCTGAGTCTGGCGCTCCCACATATACCAGGGATGCACGGTAACTATTTAATCAGTAGACAGAGCGGGCCCTCAAATTATGGCCATTCTGACCTGCAAACAACTTGGTTTAAGACTGGAATTTTAGTTTAAATTTATGACTGAAGTCTTGAGTTGCGACCCGAATGCCAGCCGCTTGTGCTTCCAGATGGCCTCAGATACAGATTTAACTCTTACAGAGTTCTGAAGGAACATGACAACGTCTTTTCCTATGAGGGGCTCACTGAGAAATCCTGGGCCAGTGTCTCTGTGAGGACACTGAGCTCTGCCTGTGTAAAGGAGAGAGACTTTGAAGGCTGTGTAGAGGAGCCGGAACCTTCAACTGACCAACTTGAGTTACAACCAGCCCTTGAGAGCAAATTGAGTTTGTAAGTCAAGGGTCCACCATGAACCATTTCTACTGCCTAAAATTTTCACTGTCTTTCAAACGCCGAGTACCTACTGCTGCCAGTGTACTGGGACTGCAGTCTGCTGGTGGAGAGAGGGAGTGGCTGTCACGGTACCACAGGAAACCCAGGTGAGGCCCGCGAGGGAAGACTGATTCCCAGGGAGCCCAGGGATACAGGAAGCACTTTCCTCACCAAGTCCCGGGCAGGTCTCACACTCAGGGTTGCTGATCAGCAGAGAGTCCCTGTCCACTCCTGGGGGTGCAGCAGGGAAGTGGCCAGGCTTGGGGATGGGACAGAAGAACCCCCACCCCTGCTTCCCCCGACTCTTCTGCATCCGGTCCTAGCACGCACTCACTGGACTCGACCCTGACTCAGCTCCTCCTGCCCACACCTCCCTCAGCCAGCATGGATTTGGCTCCCTGGGACTGGCGTTTTGTTGTGCGACCACAGAAGAACCTAACACAATGCCAACTACACAGTCGTGGCCAACTAATCCGTGGAAATAACACATGCAATAAACAAAGAAAATGACTAGGGAAACCCCAGCCCGTGATAGGGAGGGAAGGGAGATGTGATGTGGACTCCGGGGAAATGGCAGGCTTTTAAGGCAGCTTCCATTTCTGCCTTTTACAGAGATGATCAGATGGGAACAGTGGGCTAGAACAAGGCTCAGCCTTGAGGGATGGGAGGGCCAACTGGGACAGGTGAAGGAGTAAGTCAAGATGACCGGGAATGTCTGGACAGTTGGACTCCCAGAGCCAGGCGACCTTTGGGCAAAGCCGTGGGGTGAGAACTGGGGGATGTTGGGAAGGCCCAGGATCTCCCTCAGTTCAGCTTACCTACAAGATGGGCGACCTTGTGCAAAGAAGGCCTGTGAACCTTCCTTCCATACCTGCAGAACATGGGTAATTGTACCTACGTTCTGGGATTGTTGTACTGAATAAACAAATAAATCGTTAAGCACTACTGGCACTCAAGCCAACCTAACAATCCCAGATGTCACTGCGCAGCCACACTGTCTGCTTTTGAGAAATCATGGACAAGACTCTGTGAGACTGCGCCCACCATATCAGTTTGCATCACAGGGAAGCCACTGCCTATCAACCCATTTATGCTGAAGGTTGCAAGTTTTTCAAATTTTTGCAT